AAAGCAAAGAAAAATGTATTTCATTTCCATGTAGGTGGAATAGTATTGTAACTAATTCTAATAGCGTATACAAAATATGGAGTTTCATGAAATACAAATGGGGCACTTCATTTCCGCCGATAAGTAATTGTTAAACATTATTCTTTGCAAATGGCCCGAAGCGCTCATATTCATCGCCCTGTGAGTTTTTGAGTGTGTCATCCGTTTTGCGAAGGGCCATTCTTTAATGATTATTTCTGCAGCCCCATTTCACTTGTCGATAATCGCCCTTTTGTGCCCGATAGGCAGCGACTCCTTGTGGAATTGAGCAATTGCATGGAAACGCAATTATTCGGTGTATTCACTTTGAGAAATTCCCGCGCTCCGCCTGTCTGGCTCCCAATCGTTCAATCGTTCAATCGCCCAATCCCCCAATCCCAATCATAATTATTATTGATCGCATTTCAATTTATTGATACGGTTTCATTTTTTTTTATTTTTTTGTTCGCTAGAGTCCAAGCTGCCAGCATTGTCAACGCGTCGCGTTTGTATTGTTGATGATTTTTCAAATGCGCTTAATGACATCGGAACGGATTCTCCTGCTTCAGTTCGCTTTACCCACTTTCAGTCTCGCTCTTCCGGTTCTTTTTGCCATCTACCTCATTTAATTTATCCAGAGCACTTGGAAAAATATTCAATGACTTAAAAAATTAAATAATAGCTGTACACTGCATATGGTATGAAATTAACTATTTCAACTTTCAGCTATTATATTAAAATATTATATGAAATATGTGTTTTCTTGGTTAGCTTCGACTTTGCAACTTTGACCAAATATTTATATGTCAATTATTGAAAATGACATTACTCATATTATAAACTTATTGTGCGGTGCAACTTAAACGGTTGGTGGCACTGAAGCGCCGCTTAATGCATACGAAATGGTAATTACGCATACGCCGCGTTGTACCAGAGGAAGTCGGAAAGTCAGCCGGGAATGAAATCGAAGTGCCAGCGCCACTTATTGACGCTCATTTATCTTATTAATAGCTCCAAGCCGGTGGCACAGTCACAATTTATCAAGCGGCTAAAAAACTCGAATTTACTTAGCTTTGTATTGGCATGCTGCTTGTGTCATTTCTATAATCGACTTGAAGTCAATGCCTTAGCCTGGCCCGAAAGCCCTCAAAGTCCTGCAGGAGCATCTAGTTTTGACAGTCTGGTCTAGACAATGTAATTGTCGACAGCAGCAAATCGAGTGTCCAATCGAGGAGTGGGATTCCTGGACCCCCTAATAGCCATTGTGGCGGTAAATCAACTGGGTTCGTATAAATCACCAAGAACAAGGCTCCCCGGCTCATATGTTGCGGCTTTTAAATCACAAGGTGTCAGGCTAAAAAAATACCCCTCAGTCTATTTTTGATGAGGGTAAAAGTAAAAGTAAAAGCAAAAGTGGAACTATATCGGAAACGGAATGAAAGGGGCAATCGGAATGTTGAACTAACCAGGACACAGGTCGCCGGTTCGTTTATTTATTTATTTCAAGTGTCCGACCAGTCGGCCGACCACTTGTCACCGCCAACAGTCGCAACTTGATTTATAAACATTTACATATCACAGGACTCTTCCGCAGTGAGTCCTTTTTCCTTCGCTCTATTGTTGCCCAATTAGGAGCAGCCATAAATTCAGGCAGCATTCAGCGGAGAAACAGGGAAAGGGACTTGTACAGCAACTGCAGTGCCGTTAATTAAAAAGTTTTTTAACAAGTTAATTGAAATAGATCTCGATTGGAGTTTTTATTGATATTTGGCTGACGTTTGGCATTTGCAGCTGCCAAACGGAACGAAGCGAAACTAAATAATTAGTTTGCTGGCCTCTTTTGGGCAAAACTTTCAGTGCCACTTAAAGCTCGAAGTTGGCCAAAGTGGAGCGGCGTTTTGGCCAAGGAGCCAAACTGTTTGCCAACAACTCGAGCACGAGCCACTCACTCGTCGGGGCGAAAACTTAACACATTATGAGTCCTGGGCTTTGACTTTCTCCCCCTTTCTCCCCCCTTTTTCCACCTTTCTCCCATTTTTTCCCATCTCCACTCCCACTTTAAAGAGGAAAACAAAAAGCAAACCAATGCATTTGACATTTACGCCGGAGCAACAGCTGCTACATAAATTAAAAAATGTAGCAACCAGGCCCCAAAGCCAATACAAATAAAAGAGCAATAACAGCCGTGACAGGAGCCACTTGTATTGAGGGGACCCCTGATCCACGATTCACCCACTCCATTGGCGCCTCGAGTCCCCGGGAGCCGGGCATAAATAATATGTACCAAAGAAAGTTTCTGTCAAAGCGCCCCAAGTGCTACTCGGAGCTCACCCTTTTCCAGATAAGTCTGCGACGCGATTGGGGCAACCACTCAGGAAATCAATAATGATTGGGCCTAGCCATCGGCTGAAAAAACGGATGCAGTCGGTCTGGTCCAGCGCTGACTATTTGTTGCCCTTTCAGTTTTGGGACTAAAATATTATTTAGTACCACTGTATGGCTTTGCAACCTGTGGATGCCTCACTTTGGCTTCAATAATCCTAACTGCATATAATAAAAATTGTAATTTGTTTCCAACTTGCTGTCTAGGCAATTGGTTTGTTTCGTTTGAAACAAAAGCGAGCGAAGAGGTCGTAAAAATCCCAAATTAGAGCAACACCGATTTCTTTTGCCCAAAAGAAAAATGCCACTTGGCATTCCCGAAAAGTGGATGCCATCGCACTGAGCCTGTCGTCTGTCACCCGACGAGGCGAAGATGAAATGACAACCTGGGCGGACAATATGTCCAGGAGTCATTAAAAAGTTGCCACAATCCCCGCGGTGAGGGTAAAATTAAGCGAGCCATTTGAATGGCAGCCATGGCGACAACGTCGAGAGCAAAAGACTTGGGCGGTCATCAAAGTAAAGTGTTTTCCAACTTTTCTTTTCTCTGGTTTTTCTCTGGGCATAGCTACTGCTGCTTTTCCCTGAATTTCCTTCTTTTTTTTCGTATTGTTCTCAAACTTTGAGCAGCTGCTCCTGCGGCGCTTGTTATTGTTGTTATTTACTATTAAAGTTGGCAGGATCGTAAACAGCTTGCGGCCAAAAAGGAGAATTGCGGATTGGTACAGTTACCCCTTTGAAATTACCCTGGTGATTGGCAATTGGCTATTGGCTCCTGCCAGCTGCAGTTTCGCAATTTCCGGCTCAATGTGGGCTTAGTTTTATTACCAATTAAAGTTATTCAATTGCCGCGCAAAAGTTAAAAGGCTCCGCTAATTTCATTTCCCCCAGAAAACGCCACAAGCCCAGTAAATACGCAATGCACGAACATATCTATTTTATGCTGCCGTTTATTGTTTGGCCCAGAGATACCAAATACGGCAGCAACTGCTGCTGGTTTTGCTGGGCTTTGCATGTTTAATTCATCTAATCAACATTAAGCCCTGTTTTGGCAGAGAATGTGGTCTGCATTGTGACCGCCCACCCACCAGTCCGCTCTTTTCCATTGTTTTCGTGGTTCAACCGCTGTTCGTCGCCCCAAAAAGATACAAAATTCAGTTGCAGATACATCTGTGTTGTTGCTGCTGTCGCTGTCACATTTACATAATTTCATTTGCAACACATGCTGGGCATTTCTGCACCCCTCCCCCTCCCGCGACTCCTGCTTTCGGCTGGCGGCAAATTATTACACGGTTTTATTAACAAAAATTATGCTCGACTGTTGATTTGCAGCGTCATCGGAGTGTTCGTAGCTCTCCTCACTGGGTGGCCCCTGCTGAATTCGCATGAATATTCATCACACAATATATGGGGACCTATAAATAGATGCATTCTGGCATTCTGGCAGCAGGATTCGGTAGGCAGGCGCAGGATCAAGGAGCAATGGCCGCAGGCTCTTTTATTAATTAAGTTCGGATTTTTTTCTCCTTTTTTGCTCCGGTTGCATGAGCAACAGTGGCGCGGAAAAATATGAGTTAAGGGGATGCATAATTAGATTATTAAATATGGATTTTAGTTTCATTAATGCTTCATTACTTTATTTCATTAATTTAATTGACTTTACTTTATTTGATTTTATAGTTTGAAAGGTTTAGTTCAAAAATTGAATGAATGAGCTAGCAACGTTGTAGATATGATTTATCCAGCTGACACATATACATGAATGCAAATTATTATGTTAATTCTATAACTAATTATTGGATTTTTAATGTAAAATAAATTATTATAAATAGTATATAAAATAAAGAGTCTCAAAAAAAGAGTCTCATAATGGGATAAAGTCCATGCGCCCTGCTGCTTTCGCCACTGACCAAAAAGCAGAATACCAATGATGACCATGACGATGCCGATGACAGCGATACACGAGCCACTCAATCTTGTTGAGTAAGCGCCACTAATTTGTTTTTAAGGTCAGCATGGTCACTCCACCCACCTTTCCCCGCCCGCCGCTACCACTTTGCATACTTTATTGACCGCATCGAGCGTGTGTGTGTGTGTGTGCGTGTGTGTCGGCGTGGAGTCCTGCCACAAATACGCTTTTAAGAGGCATTTCCAGGACGAAGGCAGCTGAGGAACACTGCAGCATCCATGCCACAGACCTGCTTCTTGCAATTTGGCTATTAAAAATCATTAGCAGCATGGAATTTCCACCCATTTTGGCCGAATTTCAGGTGTCTGCCCTTTTCCGAGCATGAATCTCTGCTGCATGCAACATTGTGTGCGCTACATACTTTGTGGCCAGGCTCCGGCCAGGCATTTTCATTAAAACGCTTAAGGCATATAAATACCAAAGCTGGAAACAATGATCTTAACATCCCGGTAATAAGAAAATTATTTGTCAAAAATATTAAGTTTCTGAAGAAAAGGTAGGTGACACACGAACTTTATGTAAGGCATTGCATTCCTTAGTTTAATTCATATGCATAAAAAGCTACATTTAATCATTGGAAAACAAAATGTAATATATTTTAATCCGAGCACTCCGTGACATAGTACATACACACACTACACAATTTATATATTAGTAAGCAAAAAAAATAATAAACATGGACTGCAAAGCGCCTGGACTGCTTGAAACTCCTAGTGAGTCGGAAGTGACGCACTGCACCATCTCCGCTCTGGACAACATATCGATCCAGGAAGAGGAGAGTTCTTCGGCCTTGGATCTTTCCAAGGTTTCCAATAAGCTGGAGGAGATGAAGCAAAGGGTGCTATATATGAAGCGCCTTCTAATTCGGCCCGTACAAGTAAACGAAGCCGAATGTCCTTCGGAAAGTGACCACATGAAACTGGACATTGAGCAGTCCAGCTCGGACAATGGCCAACTGAGCGGAGTTGGACAGGACACAGTTCGAGCTTTGGAGCAGATCAACGATTTGAATCGCCGACTTAAGGAGTCATCTGACTCGCTGACTGAACTGGACGCAATAGTCCAGCGAAACATCCGATGCATCAGAAAGCTGGACAAGAAGCTGCTGGAAGTGCCCAAGTGGCAGGAGGAACTGAAGCACAACACGGGATTGTGTTTGGAGCGATACAATGACCTGGACATTTCCCGGGGCAACTACCTCGACTACAGCGACAACTTCGTGCGGCCCATCCAGACCAACATGAAGTTCTGTTTCGCATCAAAGGTATGGGTTTTTTCCCATCATGGAAAGCAATTCTCCCCTTCATACACTCAACCATGAAGCTACAACTCTTAAAGTATATTTTTTATAAATACTAATGTTTGCATCCTGCCTCAAGGCTCCCCTCACATGCAATAGGCAAGATTACAATGTCATGGTACACGCCTTGAGTAAATCCCGGAGGACGCTATTGAAGTGCCACGAGGACCTAATGAAGTACACACGGAACTTGGACGAAGCGCTGACAGTGAGGAACTTCGATAACCTGGTTCTGCCATCCATATCGGAGCTATCGCTGCTGCTGGAGAAGAGCGTCCAGGTGAACAAGCGCAGGAACTCAAGTATCAAGGAGCGAAGATCCTTCAAGTTCGCCTGGGCTGCTCCTTTAACGAAGCAGGAGAAATACTCGCCCTCCGCCGATAATTTCGATTGAGATAATTGAAAACGCAGTCAACCACAAAAACGCCAATATTGTAATTTAAAGTGCCATCTAGTTTCGCATTTTACGGCTCCAAATTTGCGCATAATGAATATGCACACGGACATGCGGCATAAAACACACAATGATCAGGCTAATTGTGCAAAAATGTTTTTGCAAATATTATGTTAACAAATTTTGCGGCATTTGAAGCCACAAAAATGCAATTAGCCGTGAATGTAATTAACCGACAAAATGTGAGTGTGCAGTGGCCACTCCAACCGAAATGGTAAAAAAAATGGGAAAACCACCAAATGAATGTGCACCAAATTTGAATTAGAAATTGAATTTATTCCACGAGAGTATTGGGAAATCGAAGGGGCCTCTGATCTGGGGGAAAATTGATGGCCAGAATGCCTTTGACACCTTGGCGGAGCTTCATTTTTGGTTTGACAAGGGTTCAGAACTCGGTGGCCCCAGGAATTTCCCTTGGGAACGGGAGCAACAAGTTTGTCATGAACGATACTCCTTCCGGTCCAAAAATTTCAGCTATCAAATTGGGCAAACAACAGCCCGAGCAAAGTTTGTGGCCAAATTAATTGAACGGACCTGGCAGGGAAATGCTTTCCGCACGAAAGTCCTTGCCTCATGGAGTCTTTACCTTTCACCTTTGACAGGACACTTAATTCATCGAGCGAATGTGAAACCGAAAATTTAATTTAATTAGTGGCCTCCGAGTGTTGAAGGTGCTTGGAGGCCTCGTTGGAGTAAAACTTTTATGGCAGCTGTTGAGCAAGGATACGCCGTGTTACGCCCTTTATTCCCGTAATTGCGCATTGGCTGCACATGTCCTGGTTACCAACTTCCCGGGTCCATTGTTCTTTTGTTGGCCGTTTGAATACCTGGAATACCTGTGCTCCACTTGCCAAACCTCTGACCCTGCGGCCTATTCATATAGTTGAATGCAAATGAGCCAAGTTGGGGAGCAAAAGTCAAAGAAAACTTGCTCTGTTTTAAGAGCAAGAGGGGGAGGGCTAAGAACTGTCCGGTGGAAAGCTCAGGCATTCATAACCTCCTTATCGTCTTCGTATGGTCTTAGGTGTTTTCGATTCATTAGTCGACTCCCTGCCAAACTTATCCCATTTAGCAGCCCAGTCCATCGATCAATCAGTCAACTCATTGCGGCTAGCAAAAAAGTTTATCTACAAATTGGAAATTTTAATAAAAATTCTTGCGCTAAATTACGCTCAACAATGAAATCCCCACCTTGCCCTTTTTGGAATTCCCAATCCCAATCCCAATCCGAATCCCCCATCATTGTCATTGTCCAACTGTTCGCTTAAGTGGTGTTAAGTATTTGAAAATCTCTGCTTCGGTTTTCCGCCCCAGTCAGCCTCACTGTTACACCCATTCTGCCCATCGCATGCCTTCCGTTTTATTGTTTTACGACAGTTGGCCAAATACTTTGGCTAGCTAAAAGTTTTGCCCTCATGGTCATCCAATTGTCTGTGATTTACGGAGGCTTCTCCAAGGATCCTGGGCGGACGTCCAGTCAGTCAGCGGAGCGAAGCGGAACCCACAACAGAAACTGCAGTCCAGCATTCAGTGGATATTGATTTATTGCTGCTCAACTGGTGACACACGTGCGTTTTACAATCAGGAATATGAATGCACTTGGGATATATGATGCACAAAATCGGACATAGATTCGAAAGCAAAAATATGCTAAAACTCTTCTGAAGCCAGTTATTACCAATACAACGCTCGTTAGGCAGATTTATGCCCAAATCAAACTGGAATTCTAACTCCCCTTCATCCTTCATTAGATACCATAGCAAATATGAAGGAGGTGAGGTCTGAAAAGGTTATATCTTCTCATAACTTTCGACGATTCCTTGCGCCCTGGTTTCTTGAAGGTCGCGCAGACATTTATCCATGGGCGTGACCACGCAGAGGGGTTTCCTTCCACTGAAGTAGGCACTGCTGGGTCGAGCGTAGGACACGTGGTGGCCATTCAACCAGGAGGTGATCTCGTCCAGACACAGGCACTGCCAAGGATTTCCCTCCAAAGTGATGTGTTGTAATTGCAACAGATTTTGCAATGACTTCAAGTCCGGCAGGAAGGTGAGACGATTGTTGTTGAGCTCCAGGTGATTGAGGCGATCCAAAGTGTCCAGAATTTCTCCTTCAATCTCCTCCAGACGATTCTCGCTAATTGTGAGCAATTGTAACTGCCGCAGTGGTGCAAACATGCGAAGATCCAGAGTGACCAACCTATTCCTTCGGAGCCTAAGTTCCTTGATGAAAGGCAGAGAGGAAAGTGCCAGAGGATGCAGATCCGCAATGTTGTTGTTGCTCAAATCCAGGTAGGTCAGCTTGCGGAGAATCCTTTCACCGAATACACGCAATCCCAGCTTTTTAATGTTATTCCTGCTGAGATCCAGCTTCTCCAAAGCTGTTAGATTGGCAAAGACGTCATCGGGAAGAACCGAGATCTTGTTACCCTGCAAGTGCAGAGTTTGCAGTGAACACAGTCCCAAAAAGGCCCTCGGATGGATTCTGTTTATCTGGTTCAGCCACAAATTGAGGGTTCTTAGTTGCTTGAGCCTGCAAAACACTGAGTCCTCCAGGACTCTAACATTATTCGAGCTATAGTCGAGCAGATCCAAGGGCGCAACTTCGCCGGGTGCCATGAAAAGGGTTCGCTTGATCTCAAATAGATTATTGTTGGATACATTTAAAACTCGAAGATTGGGCAACGCATAAAATATTCCCATGTCCAGGCGCTCCAGCCAATTGCTGTGAAGATGCAGTTCCTCCAGTTTGGGCAAGCCCCGAAAGTGGCACCATTGAAACTAAGGGATTTATAGAGTATATATCATGGCCCTCAGCTATGTTATCAATCACTTACGTCTCTCAAGTTATTGTTACTTATGGACAGGAAACGCAAGTTTGCATTTTCGCCAAGAGTAATGTTTTCCTGATAGTTGGTGGTTAGATCGAGAAATCGCAGCTTTTTCAAATCCTTAAAAGCATTGGGTTCTATGTTGGCTATCAGGTTCTCAGAAAAGTTGGCGTACTCCAAGTTGGCGAAACCACTCATCAGTTTGGCGGTAATAGCCAATATGTCGTTGTAGCTCACATCGAAATTGATCATTTCGGATGGGTTGGGAAAGTGCTCTGACTTCAGCTCCTCCAACTGACAGTGGGTGAGATTCAGCTTCTGCAGCGCCTTGAAATCTTGTAGTCCGCATTCGCCCAGGGTCACACCACCGGATTCAGATAGATCCAATTGCAAAAGTCTAGAGAGACCAGGCAGTGCCCCGTCTTCTGCTCTTTCGATTCCTGTGTGCTCATTGACCACCTTCACACTTCGCCAGGTGTCACCGACATAGCGATTCAGTTGCTCGAAGCTCTCGATTTCCCGGCACAGATGGCTCCCGTTTCCCAGATCCTCGCACTCCTGAAGATCCTTCCCGAACACTCCGGTCAGCAGCAGCAAGGCCAAAACTAGCATCGCCTGCATTTTTACAACTAAAACGAACTTCAGCTTGGATGAAGTGCAATGCGTTAATTGGAGTTTATTTTTATCAGAGCAAACTTGTTTCAGTTCTATAGTTCAGCTAAAAGCCGGTTTCCGATTTCGTTAACCGAAATCAGCTGATGATTAGTGATGGTCCAGTTGAATCGAGAGGAAATTGTTTTCAACGCGAAGTTTGCTAAGTGTTGTCTTGTTATTACTCATCTTGTAACATTACATATAAGCCAACTAATTGTTTTTAACACGAAGCTTGCACCGGAACTTTTTGATTTTGATTACTTTATTGTCATAAAGTCTGGAAATTATTCCAAAACATATTCTGAAGTCCTGGATGTGTAGCATCGTTCTGGATCGTTCGGAAAACTAGTTATTCTGCACGACGCATAGAATCGGTTACGATTTCAAGCGATATTGTCACGGAAACCGGTTAGGACCTCAACTTTAAATAGTAGTGAAAAACATGTGAAATTTCGTTTGGAAACTTTAGAAAATAATAAATGGTTAAAATCCTTCAAATGCTAAAATCGTAGAAAATTTGTTACAGTATTTATTACAAAGGTTGTTTTATATTAAACAAAACTTAATTCACAAAAGCGAAGTTGTGATCAAATCGCGCCACTTAGTGTTATAAAGCATTTATCGCCGTCATTCCATATATATATTTTTCTTACAAAAAACAAATATATTTGTTGTAATACACAAAAAGAAAACCTACCTTTTCGTAATAGCAGTAGGGGTATATATAAATATTCTGATGCTTAACAATAGACAAGGTTAAATATATTCTTCTCTCCATAAGACACTGAAAATACCGTTTAAAGTACATGGTTCAATAACGAATCATTCGTTGGTTAGTTGTCGCTTCAGAGCATAATTATAAATTCATAAATAAAAAGGATTTCTCGTCGAATACTTCACACAAGTCGTGGATGAGGCGAAATAGCAAAAATGCTAACTTAAAGTTAGTTTTATATTCTGGCAATGTCCTCACAAGGGAAGCCTGAGTTCAGTATGTTCAGTTCAGTATCAAAATAAAGAAGGAGTTTCATTAGTGCGATCCATTTTCATCAACAAGTATGGTACAGAAGACTTGTACTCGGCTGTTCACCGGGAAGATAATTGTGTAAGGTAGCAACTCAAAATAATGCACAACATTTAATCGTCGCCACAATCGTCGCAATCGCCGCAATCTCCACAATCGCCACAATCGCCGCAATCGCCACAATCTCCACAGTCGCCACAACAATCGGTTGAAGCGCAAAAACAATCGACGCACAAGCCACCACCTGATTCCTAAAGCATTCCGGGCCTATCGCTCTCTTGGTTTGCCGATTTCTCAAAGAACATGGCATCCTATGGGGCAAACAGAAAGCAAACATTTAGTGTGGGTAAGATTTACAACTAAAGGGCTTAGTGCTGGACTAGCCTACTCAAACTAAGCTGAAGGATTTGATGGGCCGGAGGGTCAACATTACCTCAGCACCAACGTAGTCTGCGTTGCAGACGTCTTAACAGCTTGAACCGATAAAAATGAACACTATACAACTGATTGGCGGAGGCCAAGGATGAAAAACTAAAATAAATCTTAGCTGAATAGAACACACTTACAATGAGGAATGTGGCGCCCAGCAGAACGGCCTTCATGCGCACATCCAAGTCCAGTGGGAAATTGATGCCGAAGAAGTCCGCATCCGTGAAAATTTCACGTGCCAGGCCGGACCACTGCTTCGAGATCTTGCCGATCTTCTCACCAGTGAGCGAAACAACCTGAAAATCAAAAATGCTTCATAAAATCACACAGAAGATATGAATATTGTAAGCATACATTAAACTCGACGTCGCCGCAGATCGAATAGGTGCAGAAAGGTCCTTCGATGCGCATCACCGTGTCACCCACGTGGTTGAGGATGCGGAAGGATGGCGAGCAGATGGACCACTCCTGCTCGATGGTGCCGATAACATTGCCGGGTGGCGCCGATACCTCGATGCTCTGCAGACAGCAGGGGAACAGACAGGAGGAGCAGGCCAGCGGGCGGTGCATGTGGATCACTTCCTGCTGGAAGTTGTCAAAGACCCGCATGTCGAAGGGACGCGAAGGACCACAGCAATTGCGCGTGCAGCAGTCGTTGTCCTCCGCCGCGAAATAGACCTTCTGACCCAGGGCGTTCTTGATTATAAACTTGTTGTTGGTCTCGAAACCCGTGAAGGCCTCCAGCAGCTCGACCTTCTGCTTAACTAAAAGCTGGTCGATAGTCGTAAGGTACTCCAATCCGCGCGGACAGTTCGGAATTCCGGTAGGTATACTCATCCAATCTCCTGCAAAAATGGCACTCATTAATATGCATTCTCAAGAGCAATGTATGGCGAAAAAGGAATGTATCTAAATTATTTGTTTGGCTTAAATCGTTGTAATAGTTGAGGATGCAACCAAAACGAAGAAGCATTTCGATTTTGATTTGCTTGAATGGAATTTAAAAATAAAACTTAAAGTGAACTTTATGATAACGTTCTCCTCTTCAGACTTCTTATAATCCTGGTGTGTAAATTAAATTAGTGCACACAAAAGAGCAGCTTGTTCAGCTCGTTCAGTTGCCAGTGTGTCAATTGGTCAATGTCAGCGACACAATTGCTCGGCCTTTCTAATTGGAAGCATCACAATGGAGCAAGCCCCCCTGACACATCCCATGGATTACCCCCAGCCACAAGCTATTATGCTACCTCAGCCATCAAGGCTCTTGTATCTAATCGGCGCTAGAAAGATATACTTTATGCCGGGCTCTAAAGATAAATCTCATAATAAATACTTAATTTCACAATGTAAAGAAACCTCGAAAAGATTTACATTAATCAGAGATTTCTAGATCAAAAGAGATTTGAATTCAGTTTTTGCAGCTAACTACAATAGACATATCTCATCGGATTCCTATTTATCAGTTATCCATTATCTTTCTGAGTATTTCATTCGATTTACTATGGAAATCCCTGTCCCCACAGTATCTGGTCAAGACCACAATAGGATCTCCTTACCTCCTGTCCTCGTCGCTCACGTAGAACTCGTAGCCCTTGCGCTTGGCGGACTTATTTAGTCGGATGGTGTGTCTGAGTTTCTTGGGCAGTGGTTTGTTGGCCTCCCTGCAGACCAGCTGCCTCAGAGTCTGGGATCTGGAGCAGATCTGGTTGTACTGGGTATACAGCGAGTGCCAGATGAAGCGCAGCACCTTGGAGCCGCTCCTCACACCCCTGGAATGGGATTCCTCCGGGTGTCCTCCAGCCTCGCCACCGCTCAGATCGAGTGTGGAAACGCAGCTTGCTGGGTTTTCAGTGGACATTTTTCTAGACTGACACGACCGCCTGCTCTGCAGCACAGAGATGAACTAACTGTTCGGCGGGGAAAAATCAACGCCATCCACGGCGACGGCGACGGACATTTTAAATGACGCTTGGTATTATTTTATTGGTTCAATTAAGGCAGACGCTAGGCATTCCGATAAGCGCCAAAGATCTGGCACGGTTATTCAGCTTATTTCGGGGACGCATCCGATGCACGTGTAAACAAAATAACAATTGATAAGAGGCGGTCTTAGAACCTCAAAGTATCTCACACTGTCCAAAGTGACTACGTAAATGTTTGCACCCCACTTCGCTACTGGGGGAACCTTTAATCTACACAGATCTTGGCGAGCTACCTCTATTGGGGACGATGGGTTCAGTGCTTGCACCCGAAGAATTCTTAAGACAACTGATTGGACATTATCTTAATCGCAGGGCAACGACACACCGAGCATCACAAAGATGCGATCTTGTTTTGATTCAACGTTTGCGTGGTAACATTATATAAGAAGTAAACTCAGATATGAAATGCCTAATTTGTACAAGGAAGCAGAAAGCGATAAAGTCGGGTGCCATATATAAATGGCACACCATATATAAATATTTGAAAGTCAATCGATAAAAGCTTTTAAATTCCAAAGCATGGCTTGCTTTCGTACCATAGTTCTTATCAGACACGCGGACTTTCTTTGTTCCTATAATTTCGAATACTTGTTTCAAGTTACAGACTAGTTTTTGATTACTTGCCCGCTGTTCCGCCCCGTGATGGAATCCGCGGTCTCATTCCCGGCTGCGTGACGATGGGCTGTCCTGGTTGTCCTGGTGGATACCCGCCGAATGCGTTGGCAGGTCCTCCTGGTCCTGCTGGTCCGGGGGGATAACCGCCGAAGGCCTGTGGAGGTGGTGCTCCTCCTCCGTAGGGTGGCTGTCCACCGGGACCACCTCCATAAGGTGGAGCACCCGCATAAGGTGGCTGGCCACCTGGACCACCCACGTAAGGTGGTTGTCCGGCTCCGTAGGGCTGAGCTTCTCCGTACGGCGGCATTTGAGGAACTGGAGCGTAACCGGCTTGCTGCGGACCTGGCGTAAACCCCTGCAACGATCGGGATTGGATTTAATAATGAGCAACACAATTTTATTGAGAGGCGTTTCGATTAGTTGCTGTGCTCGGGCTTCAACTTTGCAGTACTTATCGGCACTTTGTCGCGGATCATTATGAAGTTGATAAGAATGGTTTTAGAGAAAATAAGAGAAAATGCTGTAGTCGAGTTCCCCGACTATCGGATACCCGTTACTCAGCTAGTGGAATATCGGTAGAAATTGGGGAACAAAATAATAAAATATAAGAAGCTTAAGCATTTTTTAAAGTGTGGGCGTTACACTACGTATAAATAAATATATGAAAATGTATAAATATATGAAATGGGTTGCCTCTCTTATTAAGTCTCGACTAGAGCGGTTTTCCATGATGATGAGTAATACACGTATGTTTAGTGGAAATAAATTGCCTTTCTGGCAGTGGATGTTTTAAGGCCGTGGAAACAAAACGGCGGGACATGATAAGCCCGCATATGTAAATGTATTCAAGAAGAGTATCTAGTTTTAGACTTGCTTATCCAGTCTGCATTACTGGTTTTAATTTATGTACCTCTGTACATTGAGTTCTTATCGTGTTGTTAGGGGGGAAAACGATGATTGCATTTGTCAACACGCCGATTTCACGGATTCGCGTGAAAATCCAATGAATCTTTTTTGCGTGAGTGTGGATTTATAAATAAGCAAATACCAACTGGCATGACGTCATGGTCGCGGTGGGCCTGTACAGGACGCACCCTCCACAACACCCACTTTCCCCAGCATTTTCCTCGCCTGGAGGGGGGACACAATTTTGGAACTCACGTAATTCATGGACGGCGGCGGCTGTGGATGGCCGGCGACGGGGGGGTAGGGGGCGTTGTGGGCGCCACTGGGCGGTGGGTAGCCGAATGCCTCGGCGGGCGGAGCGTTTGGCTGGAATCCGGATCCGAAACCGGGTGGGGCGTAACCGCCCTGATTGACGTTGCTTTTCATTTCGTGGGTTTTCCCCGGATTTCGCCTCTTTTGCTGCTCTTCTTCTTCTGCACTCCGCGTGCTGCGTTGTTGTTGCACTGCAGGGGAGTTGTTGCGGCCACGCCCCCAACGAAATCGCAGCAATGTGGTTCTTGTTTTGCACGCACTATCTGTTAATTAATGTAGTTTCGAAACAAATGAAATTCGCTCAATCAGGTGGACTCGCAGTGTTACCGTATCTGAAGAGCGAAAAAATACCACCTACTCGCAAAATATACCAAGTTCTTAAAATAACATTATAACATTAAAATAAAATTATTGGAAACTTTAAAAAACTCCTATACTACTAAAATATCACACGACTTCATTTAAATAAGCGAATTTAAAGATATTTTACAAATCAATACATGGCGCCACAAATCCCCTGAATGAAATGTTTACTTTACAATGTAAAAGTAATGTATAAATGTAATGTTCCATAACAGAGCTCGCCCAGCAGTGCCCTGTTATTAGCAGAACCATATAGCGAAGACACCTCTCACAACTGGAAACCTGAGTAGAGACTCAAACCTCTGTTGCGAGCTTGGAACTTCGTTCATTAAAATTCGATTGTGATTCGGTTATATTTTAAAAATGTATCTATTCAGGTCTGAAATAATTATATTATGAAAAGAAATCACATAAAAATAGTATTTTTATTTAAGAAACCTTATGTTTAATGAGACCATGTCTCGATGTATACTTAAAACCAAAATAAAAATAAGAATCATTTACAAAATACTTATTTTCATTAGGTTTCCTTTAATGTTTTCGGTATACTTGTATTATTTATTATCGGTATATTTATATTAGTTATTAAAGCTGTTTCAGGAATTTTGTGTTTCCTCAAAAAATGTGAGGATCGAATTTATTTGACATTTGACATATGCATTCTTCCTGCTTTTATTACAAATATATTAATAACAAAATACCTCTACCTAATACTTATAATATAAGTATAATTTTCGGTTTTTTTTATCAAAAAATGGTTTAGTTTAAAAGTAAATCCATTTTGTATGCCACCACTGCCGCAGAGAACGTCCACATTTTTTCTAATGCGCAAATTTTCATTGTGAGGGTGTGCCTCCCCTACACCTCAGGGGTGCGACAGAGAGGGGCTGCGAGGCAGAAAGGGAGAGAGGAATAGAGAGGGCGGCGTAGTAGCGCGCATAAAAAATGGCGGTTTCCGACGCAAGCAAAACGCAAAAAAAAAAAATACAAAAATGAGGGAAAAAAATGTGGGCAGGGTGAGCGATGCTTGTAAGAGTAAAAGAGACGGACTGCTGTAATGTGAAAAAAATGCTAAAAACTGTGTACATAGAAAAAAACTGCGAACTGAACTCCACCCCATGGTCATGAACATCCAGCAGACGTCCCTCACTCACACACACTCACACACACACACACCACGGTAATTACCCATACAAATGCAGCGAGAAATGGAGAAATCGTCATCAGCATTATAATGATGGTGGGAGGACCACCCCCACACAGAGCCAAATCAGATTTCGTCCTCGATGTCCTGAAGAAAATGTATGTATACCTTATATAAATGATAAATGATATTGTATACACCAAATATATTACCTAAAACAACACGAAATTCGTTCAAAATTCACTTTTTACTACCAAACTTGTTTTTTGCTTTTTTACTACTTCAAAGCATGGTCTTTATAATAATACATATTGATAATTTTAGTTTTACAATATGAATGTAATGATATGGTGATCTTTGAGAAATATATTACTTCACTTGCACAATTTGATTGCAAGGCGTAGTTTCTTGCTGTGCAGGGCGGAATTAGTGGATCTAGAGAGGTCCTGGCGAAGGACTCATCAGGGTCAGGGAAACGAGCAATCCAGAGCTGAGCGCTTAATGCGCCATATAACGCGATATTTGCGCTGGTGTGTGGGCGAGTTTAGCACATTCAATTAGTTGACTTTGCAATGGCAGCAAATGCAGAATGCGAATATAAAACAACCGGCTGAGAATGGGCATAAGAATGGGACTGGGTACGCGAACATATTTGCGGTTGGCAACCGACCAAAGGCACAAAAGCCTGGCTCAGCAGTGCAGCAATTGTTGCTGGGGGAGAAGCCCACGCCCACCACCTTTCAGCCCCTTTTGGCCCCACCCATGACCTTTGCCAGGGCCGTCGCTGAACGGTTCAGTGCAGGAGGGGCTCTCAAAAAATCAGGCAAGCGGCAAGCGGCGCGCTTAATGCAATGGTAAACAGCCATGCGGGTTGCTACACTGCTACAAAATGCCACATCAATGCAAGAGTTATGCGAATTGTATACTTTTGAGCCTGTAATAGTAACAACTTAAGACAAAAAAACATTTTTCTCTTAACTTAGTTTAACTCAAATAGAAAAATGACATACATACATATATCCTTTGGATATTCAGCCAAAAATTCATTCCACCTGTGCTATTTTGAGCTGTGCATCAAAGACCCTAAAAACCATGGATCGGGTTTCGTTTGAGCCTGGCAGAGCGCCTCATTAGCCGTCGCTTCATCCTTAAAGCTGCTGGCAAGGAGCAAATTCGGGCGTTGCTGAACTTTCCGTTCGCCAATCGCAAGGGCGATCTAATTTATGAGCCTGTTCTAAAGCAAGAAATCGAAAGGATCGGAGCCTCTGACAATAAATCAAGTTTCGGAGATGCGATCAAGTGGACTTCTAATGTCCCGATCGATCAAAGCTCCTTTACCACGCGGCCAAAAATGCAGCTGCTCCACAATCAAGCTGCCAATCAATCATTGTTGAAATGGAACAAAACGAAGAATTGAAGTTGAATAGGACTGAACTTACTCAAGCAAATATAAAGAACAGATAGCAAGGTTCAAAAAGAAGTACCAGCCTTCTTATAAATGTTAGTTACCGGCAAAAAATAATATCAAATATTCTTATATTAAAAAGAATTTGTTTTGTTGAACAGGACTAAAAAGTCAAACAGAAAGTTCATGGAAATCACAGTTCCAATAAAGTTCGGCAGCACAAAGGCTGCAATAATCTATACACCATATATGGTCTCGCAAATCTGGCGTATCTTGACCATTTAACCGAATCCACATTGCGTCGGTCAGTTAAGCGTGGGAACACACACATCCCCGTTGCGAAAAATGAAACGAAAAAATGTGTCAATGCCGCAAAGGGGGAATTGCAACTGCCACTGCATTTGGTCAATGGCCAGTTGTTTTGGCCCTCCTCTTGGCCAGCTGCGCCATCGAGTGCACATGTGCATATGCCAAATGCAATCACGATGTCGCGATTTCCAAAACGAATGACAGGAAGTGCAGAGCCGCAGATACAAAAAGAGTGAACAGAAAGAGGGGCAAGTTACACACCTGGCTCAAAGCATTCCACCTTGCGTGGGTCAGTTACCAAGTTCACAGGCGGAATGCGAAAAGGGCGAAAGTGTTTCCTAGCTAATTGCTTAATTACGATCCACGGACGCGAAGAAGAAGGTCAGAAGCCGGCTGGCCAGCGGAAAACTGGGTCAGAAAAGCCGGCGGAAAAAGGGTTGTGCAGCGAAATCTTAATGAGTTTTCATTCTGCCATTGGCCTCGTCCTTCCCAACGTTTTCCAATTAAAAGCACAATGACCCTTTTCCCGGGGCCCAATGCTAATGAGCCCGGCACGCACTTTACTCTTAGCCCGGCCCCGGAAAATTAATTACCACCAAGTGTTGAACTTGAACTTGTTGTCTGACCGCTTTTAAAGCTGGCTAAAAAATCAATAACTACATTTTTGGCGGGCTGCGGGCAGCAGGATTCTAAAAAGGAGGAAAGGGCTGCAGGGTGGACCTTGTCTGCTTGCCACATGTCATGGTAAAAATTTAAATCAGAACCGACAGCAGGACGAGCCAAATGAGTGTGTGTGTGCGCGTGTGTTTTTGTCCGATTTTTCTGCCCCTTTTTTCGAACCCTTTTCTGCGGCGCTTTGTCCTGGCCGAGTGGCTCAACCCTTTTTTCCGTTTTTTTTTCCTGTATTTTTCGGCAGGACGCTGGGCAGGACTTTGACAGGATGCTGGTCGCTGGCACACGGTAATTGCTTATTTAAGCGCGCGCCTTTATCCTTCAACGGGATATGCCGGAATATGCCGGGATATGCAAACAAGGGGCAGCGCCGAGGAGCGGAATATAAATTTGAATGAACCGAGATGCGAAACAAAAGGCCAAGTAAATGCCCCGTGTAATTACCGGCCAGCGGAGGACGGCGAGGGGCGGTGCAGCTGTCTAGCCGGACCATCCAAAGAGTATCCAGGATTCAGGACTCAGGACTCGGCACCGAGTAGCATCCCAAAATGAACTGCAAATCAAGCTCGGTCAGCGGCAAGGGTAAGGGTTCGGGGTAGCGGCGAACCACGGGTCACCGTGCGTGCATATTAAAAATGTGTTCGGAATGTAATCGTAAGCTGTCATTCGCGGGGACACTGAAGAATACAATTTGTAATATACCTTCAAAATAAAATCAAAATAAAAAAAATAATTTCTTCCCTTAAAGAATTGCCAAAGAATTCAAAGCTTCAAAGAGAATATTAAAGATAATACAATTTGTAATATACCTTCAAAATAAAATCAAAATAAAAAAAATAATTTCTTCCCTTAAAGAATTGCCAAAGAATTCAAAGCTTCAAAGAGAATATTAAAGATAATACAATTTGTAATATACCTTCAAAATAAAATAAAAATAAACAAAAAAGAATTTCTTCCCTTAAAGAATTGCCAAAGAATTCAAAGCTTCAAAGAGAATATTAAAGATAATACAATTTGTAATATACCTTCAAAATAAAATAAAAATAAAAAAAGAAGAATTTCTTCCCTTAAAGAATTGCCAAAGAATTCAAAGCTTCAAAGAGAATATTTGTTTGATTTTTTAAGTATCTTGTTTTCTAAGTTTTCTAAGACTTGAAAGATATCACTCCACTCGATTCTATAGTGCAAACGTGTGACTTTCTGATGTACTCCTGTAAGCTACATTCATCTAGTAATGAAATCAAGCTAGGTCTGTGAAGGTTTTTCCCAGTGTAGCCCAACAGCTTTCGATGTGCAGTCAACTGCGAGTTCCCTGTCTGCCTGGCTCCGAAATAGAGCAGCTGGCACTATCTAGTCTGGCCTATCGCCATCTCCGAATCTGAGCGGGTCAGAGGTCATCGCGGGCCAAAGGGGTGGCTCCGATCGATCTGCCTGCCCTTCTGGGGTTTTCACAGACTGTCGCG